TGTTTAGATTTTAACTTAATTGAAAAATAAGAATGCTTTTGTAAATTTCTTTTATGAAATTGCGATTCCATTATATGTGCTATAATATTTTTATAGACAATTCAAAAAGTTTGGGAGAAAATTTGGGAAAAAGAGAAATTGTAATAAATTGTAATTGTAATACAATCACATATAATTTCGTGATTTATTATATTCATAATAATAATAAAAATCTAATCAAAATGAACTCAATTATTTAACTTTTGTTTGCCTTTCCTAATCTATTTATATCTATATGTAGATATATAAATAGTCGCTCTTTATAAAGGCATTGCTTTACAATTCAGATATTGAACATACCTCTTGTTAGTTATTCTTATTTGATACATAGCACATTATCGTATATTAACGAAACTTCTGATATTGTCATCAGTGATCAGGGGAAGTATCAATCAAATTACATGGCCAAAGTCTGATTAGTCTTATCTGTGCAAGCAAATGTTGGTCCGACCTTATCGCATATCAATCCTAATAGCAGCTGTCGCAGCAGCGTTATCATCGAATCATGCCCCCGAGAGTTCGATGTCAATATGTAAGCATTTCTATTAGCCGGCTATCTGGAGTTATCCTAACCATTGCGAAAAACCCGCCCCATCCTCAAGGAACTCAGTTGCCGGTTCATTTGGGCAAAAGCTTTCCATTTTCTTTTTTTCTTTTCCCTCTATCATTATTATTATTTTTTCTTTTTGCTACCCCATTTCCTTTTTTCCGTTTGACCTAGACATGTGTAAGTAAGCACATGTGCTGGTGTGTGTATATGTGCATGTGTTACATAAGTATTTGTGCTCTGTTTGCAAAATACGCACATTTTTACCCAATTGACATTTCAGCTAAAAGTCTTTGCTATCAGCGGCACGGAAGTGCTGGGCGGGACTGAAACCGACTCGAAGCAGAAACCTTTCCCAGTTTCCTGTTTCTCGATTGTTGGTTGTTGTCCTGCCTTCCCAACGGCAAGCGACCAACAAACAAAGGTGGCCCTTGCTGCCACTGTCTGCCTCTGTATGTGTTTCTATGTTCCCTCTCTCTCTCTCTCTCTCTTTCTCTCTCCCGCTCGCGCCATTTCTTTGCCTCTCTTTCTGTTTCCTGACATTTCGCTAATGGTGTGTGCGCTATAAAGCCGGCTAATGCCCGTAGAACCCTTTCACTCTGCCTTCGCTCATTCTCTGTCTCTGTCACTCTCACTCTCTATGGCTCTCTATGGCCCTATAATTGCTGTCCTTCGTCTGGGCATGCGAAAAAACAAGTTGTAAGTATTGAACACCGCCTACCCTCGGTGCCTTTTATAAAAGGCAACAATGGCTCAGCAAAGCAGAGGTCCTCAAAGGCTTTAGAGAGCACAAAAAAAAAAAAAAAAAAACGAAAATAATTGAATGGAAAAGTAACAGTTTGCTGAATTTATATATATATTATAGATATATGTATGTAGCTCGGCTGATGGATGGATGGTGAGCTAGAGCTGCTTAGGATCCCTCGAACGGAACCCCGGCGAGTGTTGTCATGGCCAATGATGTGTATGCTACAATAATTGCGGGTTTTCCGCAGGCAGGCGACAATTGAAACGGTTAATTGTCAACTCAGTTTGGCAAACAGCAGCAATTGAAATATGACACATTTTTCATCATGGGCATTTTTTAGGGAATTTCTAAATATTTCTACCAAATAGCATTATATACCTTCAAATAGTCTTTTATAGTAGTGCAAATCATGAGTATTCTATGGAATTTGTATATACAAATATGTATATAATGTATATAAATATTATTCTAAACAAACCAGCTCTCAGAATTTAGGCGCAGGTTTTTTTCTCATTTGACTAAAGCCTCTTTAAACATTTTGACCAAAACCCCAAAGGCAATCAGGGAAACTCAATTACGAGTAGCTGCCAAAGAGCGTAGTTGATAAGAGGGCAAGAAACCGGGACTACGGATAGTACCAAGACGTAACGCAACAGTTAAATGGGTCATTTGGTCTATTTATCATTTTTGACTGGGCCTGTTTTGAGCAGCAGTTGGTCATTCAATTTGTGCGCTGTAACTGGCAGCAATCAATCAAAATGCGCAAATCGCAAAAAATAAAAAAAATAAAAAAAAAGGAAAGGGGGGAAAAAAGGGAAAAGCACAAATAGACCGGATCAGGGCCTGGCTATCAACCCTTTTGTTTGTTGGGTACTACAATTTAAACACGTGAAATTTGGTAATCGTTTGTGCGTCCAAACAGGACAGACAGGACAGAGTCAATTCAGGAACAGCTCAAAGTTGTAAGTCCTTAAATCGATACGAGCAAGACAAATGGACCCATTTGCCAGCAGCTGGCCCCGCAGCCATTAAAATGTTTGTATGTATATATTTGCCTGCCAAATAAATAAATTTGCGTCCACTGAATGCTGTAACTCAATTGAAAAATGCCATTGTAATTGAAGCATTGATAAAAATATGAAAATATTAAATAAATTGTATATGCAGATATCTCAAGGTTTACATGAATAGTGAATCTGATTGGATGTTGGGAAATGCCGCCTGTTAACCTGTAGCTCGATTGTATCTCCCTCTCTCTGTCTCTCTCTCTCTCTCTCTCTCTCTCTCTCTCTCTCTCTCAATGTTACTCCACAGACTCTTCATTTAGCTCAAGTGATTTACACTTTTTGTGTGGGTTGAATTGTCTCGCCTCGTTGCATGAATAATGCATTGCAATTTAAAAGCATTCTGTAAGTTTCAATCGTAACATTTCCATCATAGCCATCATTATTATCATTGCCGTTCTTGTTCCAATTGTTATTCTCATCATGTTGTTTCAACGTTTTGAATTACAAATTTATGCATCAAGTTCTGTCTAGTTGTAACTTTGCTGCTCCGCGCCTTCATTTATGAAAATACCAAATGCGAAATGCAAACTTCAACAATTTTGTGGTTTTCCATGGAATTTTATTTTTCCTCCGACCAAAATGAATGGAAAACAAAAATATCTACGATTTAAATTTATACTAACTGCAATTATCAAACTTTGTACCAACGAAAACAAAAAGAAGCTGAATATGTGATTCTATATACATTGGTATATAAGAACTTATGAAGCGCCATAAAAAAGCCAGAAAATTTGTGGGGTACCTTAAATCTATATAGAAAGATTTTTGCGGCAAATTTACGTTTTAAGGAAATCAATTAAAATATTTGCAGGTTGAAATAGCTGTTGATCTATGCCAATTAAACACTAATAAAATTGAAACTAATGACCAATTCGTTATAGCAGAGGCAGTTGCTTCATTTAATCTTCACAATTTAATTAGAGTAGATTCAAACTGAAGCTGAAACCATGAGGAAATATTGAGCTTAAAATCCTATATACTCACGTCAGTCTTTGATATACAAAATATATAGATACATCAACTTTTTCATTAACTTGGATATTAAGACTCAACCCTCCGCTCATAGAAATAGTTCAATTTCATTCTATTTGGTCAACCAAAGCGCATATGAAGCGTGAATATGAACTTAACGCTAAATAAAGCAAAACCACAGACAACTGTTATCCATTTACCAAATTGAACACTTTCTTGTGAAACTTTTGTTTTATATTTATATATTTCATTTGAACACGACGACGAGGCGGCGCCTTGTGGAAAGAAAATAATAAATTCGAAGAAAGCAAATAACATTTAGATGACGATTTTGGGTCCAATGCTCGAAATGATATTATACATAGTTATTAAAAACAGCACGAACAGCAAAATATCGAAGGCTCAATCTATGGCAATTTTCTGTGGATCAGATGGAAAGTTGAGAATCATTTTGTTACAGATAGAAAAAGCTAACTTGTCTTGATGATCCCTTCTGTTTCCTGGCAGAATGACCCTCAATTTCTTCCTTCGATTTTTTGCTACATTTTAACGGCTTTCGTCTGTCATATAAACAGCAGTAAATGCTGCAGCAAACTGTCAAAAACATGCCCATGATTAGAATTAGGCCAATGCGCACAAGCCAAGTGGCATGCTCGTAGTCTGTACCCAACCAGGAGGCTTGGTAGACTTGATCTATGGCTTGTATATAGTATACGTAAGCTCGTATGAGCAGGCCATTCGGATGCTGCCAGAAGGGCATTGGCTCTATTTCCTGCCATTTGAAGTTCGCCAGCTCGTGCAGCTCCTGAACGTTTTTGCCTATTGGCAGCTTCCGGAATACGCCGTCCTTAACATGCAAAATTGTGGGCAACTCATTCAAGGAAAAGCGCCTGATCACGGTTTCCGAATACTCCAGCTTCATGCTGGCAACAATCATGTCGCTCTTCTCCAGCTGCTTTTCGTGAGCGAACTTGCTCCATACACGCTCAAACTTAATGCAAGCCATTATCAGCGGCACACAGAAGCCGATCATCCATTCGCCCTTGAGCGTCAGATCCCACGAGCTCTCATCCAACATATATTTCTCGTTCCTTGGATTCTCGCTCCACACGCAAGGCTGCAGTTTGCCGGCAACGCCGGCCAAGAGGGCAGCTAAGCACAAAGTTTTTGGCCAGATTTTCATGTTATTCGGTTATTCAAAAAGATTCGATAATCCAAAAAAAGAAAAATAAATAAAATAAAATATATTGTATAATATAAGTATATACATAGATGTAAATACAAATGTAATATGTGAAGCAGAAGGAATAAAGTGAGTTTGCAAGGCCTCCTCATTACAGAAAAGGATGACAAGTGCATAAACAATTTAGTGTTACTTGTATTGATTAATATTATTTTATGTACTGAAAATATTTAGATAAATTTAGAAGACAATTTTGACAAGGAAGAGATAAAAGTAATACTATATTTAATTTATTTTATTTTTTATTCTTTTACCTTATAGTATTTAATTTAATTAATTATTATTATTATTATTATTAATTTATTTTATTTTTTATTCTTTTATTTAATATTGTTTTATTTAATTTTTTTTTTTTTTTTTTTTTTTTTTTAATACCTGTGTTAGGTTTTTTGCAGCTTTGAATAATAATATATATACCAGACATCAAAAAAGCACAGAGCTTTAGGAATCTTAAAATATTAAGAATGAATAGCATCGTGTCGAAGGCTCCTTAAAACACCTCAAACAGCGCGAGCACGCTTATTTGGATTAAGAGTACACAATTTCGGGATTTGAATAGCAAGCGAGTTGATGAATAGCAACGGGATTGGGAAATAAGATTTCAGAGTTCAAAATGTTGAACTATGGGATGGTGCTATCTTTAGCTGTATAGGGATACGTGCGCATGGCCGACTAACTGAAGAGCAAATGACTATTCGATGCATTGGCAACCTGCGGCCAGGTAGCGCGAGGCCAAATTGCTACCACAGAGACCCATGTCAATGGCGACCTGAGACCTGAGACCTGCGCTCTGCACCCCGCGCCCTGAACTCTGACCCAAGGCTCAGATGCATTGTTTGAGAAACGCTTCGCATTTTCAATATATAGGTATTGTCAGTATTATGATGGATTTTCTGCACATGCCAGAGTTAGGGTCCTATTTGGCTCTAGATTTTCCCACGGTTACAGAAGCGCGCTAAACCTGCAGCCATCACCTGTGTCCTTTCACGTTGAGGATACCTGCAATTCTCGGATAGACCGTGACCATTTGCAGCGCTTAAGGCAACCAAAAGAAGGTAAATACTTATATTTAATTTTTTCAAATATTTCCAGACATCTCACGCGCGCGTTTCATGCTCTCTATGCTTCTTGCTCCGTCTGATTCAATTTTCATACACTGAAGCCCCTGAACTTAGGATCTTAAGATCTTAGGATATATTGATTTATTTTTCTACTCATGCACGAAGGGGAATTCAGTATATTCGATGTCCGTCTCGATCCCCCATTAGGAGCGTGAAAATGGATGTGCAACTAACTTGGTTTTTAATATATCTAAATAAGAAGGCGCGGTGGACTCTAAAACTGAGATGTATATCTGAAGATATATGTCGGGCCCTGGGTATCTCTTAGTTGGGCAATCACAATTACTTTACGTTAGACTTTTTGCGACTTTTTCCATGTTGACTGGAGCAGTCTTTCTAAAGAAAAAAAAAAAAAACAAGAGAAGGCAATAATAATAGGTGTCGAGGCAGCATTTTCATGTCTAAGATACATTCGTAAGCCAAACAAACATACCAAGAACAACAAAACGCGGCCAAATTTTCATAGTGAAGCGCAAATACCAGCACCACACCAATTAAATGTAATATTGCCTTCTCATGGTAGAGCCGTGTATACTGTTAGGAATATTCTGTTAAAAAAAATAAGAAAAATATGATTAGAAGGATTATTGCCGAATACCCAGATACCGTCTAAAATATTTGAAATTCATAGTGTGAACGGGAAATTACAAAAATATGATATATATGATTGAAGCGATAAGTCAAAAGGTATTCAACATGGTTATTTTCCAAGGAAAATTTGCATAAATTAATTTTGATATATCTTAATATTTATTTTCAAACATCATATTAGCTAATTTGAAACAAAACATAATACTCTTCTTTCTTTTAAATTAATATTTATTATGTATGTAGTATGTTTTAATAAACCCACTTCTATATATTATTATACATATGCATGAGCCATAGAATTATATTAAATAATAAGTACATATATCTGAATTTTTGTGATGCACCGAATTTAATGTTCGTATATACCCATTAGGCAGGCAACCATTCTGAGCGAGCATCAAATAAAATATCGCCCCATTAGTGGCGTAAATTATATTCACTGCTGAACACGAATGAATGAATGTGAAGCACGTGAGTCTCGCAAATAATGTTATTCCAGATAGGCATGCCGCAAACGCGTATTTTGGCTTCGTTTTAATTAAAGCGGAACCCAAAGCTATGCACCACGCACTACGCACTACGCACCACGCACCATGCACCGCGAGCCACGAACCATGCACTACCGGGCGACAGCCGATAAATGACAACCGCAGTGCAGTATGGAAACATGGTGCTAATTACAAATCGCATTCATCAATGTAATGTCACAGACCACCATAATTTAAACCTCACAGACCGGATGTCGCAAGAATGGCCGCCACTCGAGAAACTGGTGAACTGTTCCACAATAAACAACATGAATCCAATTCTACTGCAGTTTCAAATATTTCATTGTATTACCAAATATTGTATTACAATCAGTTTGTAGTTGATCCATTTTCCATTGGAAGAATCTTGAAAATTAAAATACAAGTATGAAAGATCTAGTAGAGGATCCTCGACTAAGATTCTTTTTTAACACTGTTGCACAACTCCGATGTTAGCGGTACTATTTAAAGAATCGACATTTTGTATATTTATGTAACTTTGCATAGCAAATTGCAGACGTAAGAAAAAATATTAGCGCTTCTACGTTATTTTTAAATGTGTTCTACATAAACTAAATTAGTTAATTATCGTCTGGAATTTATGCATATGTATAACGCCAAAAATAAATTCGTCTTGACAGGACCATATGTCTTACGGTATACTTGGTTCAATATTTTACATATGTATTTCAAATACTACCAACGACCAAGAAACAATAATAACAATCATAATATTAGTTCCATGACTTCAATTTATTCATACAGAACACGTAACCACATCTAAACCGAATTAAGCCGAATTTCTTCCTCCTTTTTCTAAATAAACAAAAATCATTAGAACTAGTAAATAAATAATCCGTCAAAATAAATAACTGCATATATGTATTTAATAGTGCCATATTTGAGAATATCATGTATTTATATTCAATTTATTTATATCTAAAGTCCAAATGGATATTTGACTATATGTGGTCCCTATCCATATCATTTAGGTCAAACTGATGATGTCGACAATATAACTGATGCAAATAATACAACTGATGTAGATTAGTGTGTTAGTGCGGAGGCAATGGTTTATGTTTTTGATATTATTTAATCTTAACGAGCACATAGGGGACTTGAGGTTTTAGTTGAAATGAATTATTATTGTTTTCGGTTTAGGTTAATGAAAAAAAAATTTTAGTTATAGGAGTTTAAAATTTTTGGCTTGTTTGATTTAATAAATTTATTCTTGTTTGATCTCTAACAATCTGTTGCTTTTAATTTAATCTTGTAATGGTTGCCATTTTATCCATTAAGAAGTCATAACTAATATTAGTATTATAATAGATAATAAACAAGAAAATTTATATTTGAAGGAAGTGCTCGATATATCGCTATTATCGATTTTTTCTCTCAAAATATCGTAAATATCGATACTACGAAATATCGATTTTTTTCAGCACTTTATTTGTGACTAAAAATTAGACGTGGTACCTATGGCCTAGATATGGTATACGCGCTTATCGCTAATCGTATCGTATTGTAACAGATGATATTCGTTAACAATGTATATGATACAAATGATGCTGATACAACAAAATCCATGATAACTTTGACAATGTATCATGCCTCCGAAAAGACGTAAACATTATTTGTTGGTCATCGATAGATAAATAGTAGCTCAATTACCTATCTTTGTTTGTTTGCTCTTGGATCATCAGCTCTAGTTTGCAAATACTATCCACCTAAAGTCTCGAGCTATAAGAATGGCAATATAATTTGCGTTCACACATATAGGCGTTCACACATATAGACGGACGGAAGGAGAGACGCAGGACGGACATAGCATACCAACGACATTCCTAGCTCGTTTCTTAAATGAGCATACAAATGCGATATAGTTTAATGTAGATAGTGCTTCTACAAGATACTTCAGCTCAAGCGCAGTTAATAGAACGCAATCTTATACATGCGTTTGTATGGGGACATAGAAGAATCGTAGAATGATTGGAAGATTAGCTCTTTGCAGAGATCAGGCGATCTACAAGTGGAGCAGCCTCGTTTGAGGCACTCTGAATTGGTATTATTAGAGAATTAGTCAGAAATAAAACTACATGATCAATTCGAAAGGTTCATTACCACAAGTCATTTATACATTTTACAAATATCCAACAGCTCTCAACACCAGGAAATAGTAATACTCTAACAGCTGCCCAAATACATTGGATTAACAGATCTATTACGGTTTTCATCAATGTTAGACATTGTATTACAAGACTTATTAGCAACACGATTAGTTTAATTATAGCGAAAAGCTTCTTAATTATTAGAACCAATATATTGCCACGTTTCTGCACCATAACAGATATACATTCCTTTATTCCTGCGATTAGTTGACCAAGTGGGCTGTTTTCATATAGGCACTTTATAAATTCATATAATGCTAGCCCAATATATTTAAATAAGTGAATAATTGCGAGTATCAGGCACTTAAATATCATCAACGTAAAAATGGCTACTACAAGCTTTAAAAAAAATTGACCATCCATTGCCAATGATTTTCCTTTTGCATCGCAATGAACACTTAGTAATACCAGCGCAAATAGAACCAAGAAAGCCATTTCGATTGAATTCTGTAGCTTTCAATAGATGTTTATTTAAGACTGTTGCACAACTCCGATGTTACTATTTAAATGTTACTATTTAAATATATGTTACTATTTAAAGAATCGAGATTTGCTATACTTATGTAACTTTGCATAGCAAATTGCAGACTTGCGAAAAAATACTAGCGTTTCTAACTAAGTTGGGTGTCATTTTCTCAGGTGTTATACATAAATTCGATTACTTAATTATCGTCTGACATTTATGCATATGTATAACGCCAAAAATAAATGCGTCTTGACAGGACCATGTGTCTTACGGTATTCTTGAATCAATATTTCACATAATTCAAATACTACTAACAAACAAGGAACAATAATAATAATCATAATATTAGTTCCATGACTTAAATTTAGCTGTGACTATGCTTGTCTAACCGTTTTTCATACAGAATACGTAACCACATCTAATTCGAATTAAGTCAAAACTGGTAGCGTATGCCTCAGGAGCTATAAAATCGAATTTTTCCCCCTTTTTGCCAGCTACAGTACAATATTTTTGAACATGAGAGTTTTATTTGTAGCTCTACTTTTTGCAATTGTTACATCCGAAACTCATATTAAAAAAACTCCGCATTCGGAATTGAGTAATGGCGCGCAACATCATCATCAAAGTCGTCCTCTTAGGCGCAATACTCAATTAAAACGCGACAACGACAGAAAACTAATCATTTCCGGTTCAAATGAATTCGATTCTGACAACCTTCCGAATATCCCAGTTCATGGTCGAATAAGATATAGACCACGAAAACGACCATCAAAACAACCATCAAGACGACCAACAACACGACGAACAACACGACAAACATCACCACGAACATCACGAAAAACAAAACGGCGAAGAACCACAACCACTACAACCACAACTACAACTACAACTACAACCACAACTACAACCCCACCAACAACAACAACAAAAAAGAAGAAAAAGAAAAAAAATGTAGATAATACAACGGCTGAATATGATTCAAGTTATGAATATGAAACTACTGATGTATATAATACAACTAATGTAAAGGATACAACTGATGCTGATACACCAAAACCCACGACAAAATCATTCTATGATGAGTTCGCAAGTTTTGAAAATAGAACCGGAACAACGGAATCATGGAAAAGACCATCTGAGCCTCCACCGGAAGATATAGAAGAGCCTTTAGTGAGCCAGTTG